ATTCCTGTGCCAGGAGAATTTTGTAGGACCTGATCTAATCCAGCCTTCACCTCTACCCTGGGGGTCTGCAGGACTCACTTCACACGTTCCGTTGTGACTTCGTTGCGTTAGTGAGTAGTACTAGGAGATATGTGTAACCTGTGACCACCACAGTAGTTGGAAAATCCTATTTGGCTTGGGGAAAATACTCTCCTCTCAACCTGCACAGCACAGTGCAGATTGAAACCCAGAGGTATTTGTGGCATCTGCTAATAGTAAGCGTTGCAAGGACTTGGTTTGAGCTGGGTGTACAACAGCAGGGCACACTGCCTTCTAAACAATCACTACCGGAACTAGTCTTTGGGAACCAATGCGTGGTGTCTAGGAATCCACATCTGAATCCTCACAGCAAGAAAAGCTGGTTACTACCCTCAGTGAGTCCTTGTGGAAGAAAGTATCAGGAGCTATGGCAAATTAGATCTTGAGACAAAAGGCAGGAAGGGGGGTGGAAATAACAAGAGATCTGGTTTGGGGGCAGTATGAGGCCTTGTGAGTGCCTTCAATGGGTGTGGACCCTTGTCAGCATTTTTTAAAGAGGCTTTCAAAAGAGAAAGGAAAAAACAAGTCTGGAAACACTGGAAGGCTGAAACTGTGCATGTGGTAACGCTTTTCCCTCCTGGGCCATGTTGCAGTGGACTTGGCAGTGGAATGTGCCCATCAAGGCGTGTTCTTCAATCAAGGGCAGTGCTGCACGGCTGCCTCGCGAGTGTTTGTGGAGGAGCAGATATATCCGGAGTTTGTCAAGCGCAGTGTGGAGTATGCCAAGAAGCGACTCGTTGGAGACCCCTTTGATGCCAGAACTGAACAAGGGCCTCAGGTAACTGTGTGCCTGAAAACAGTTGTTGTTTGGTTTTTGGTTGTGTTTTTGTTTAGTTTTCCTTGAGTAAATATTATCCTTGCAAATATGGTCCCATCAGAAGCGCTGAGGGGTGAGTAATGTATCACGGCTTTATTTTTCTCTCTATTTTAAATACCAATTAATCACAACTGTTGAAATGTTATGTTGTAATTTTTTTAAACACAAATGTATTTAATTCACTTCTTATCCAGCTTTATGGAAGGGTCTGTCTCCCTGGTACAGTAATACAAAGCATGTTGCAGTGTGTAATAGCGATGCACAGAAGAGTGCAGCTGCAGAAATGGCCATTCAGATACTTGGCTCTGTTGGTGATGACAAGTAGTTAGAGCCCAGGGACTCCTGAGTCCCCACTTTCCCTCTCCTCCTCTGCCCCCTTTCTGATCCTTTGGAGAGGTTTCAGCTGAATTAGGAGGAAGAGCCATGCCAAGCTGCTGTCACAACCAGCCTTGTCAATGCTTCCAGAGCCACCTTCTTATTTCTTCCTTTCAAAGCAATATGAGCTGTGGTGGAGAGCTCTGGAGGAAGATGATCCTTGAGTCAGATCTTCTAACAGGACCACTGTTTGCTACCAAAAATAAAGGGGGAATCCCTTTACGTATAGCCTAGGCTTCCTCTTCTCAGTACTGCACTGTGAGTTTTTCTTCCTTGATGCTATATAAGATCCCTCCAAGAAAGCATGACCGTGCAGATATCTGCCTCCCCTTATCTGGATCTAGACCAATTTACATGATCCATGCAAGGGGAATAAGATGGTGTACATCCCCTGTTCATGCTGGGACTGCATCTATCCCTGTAACTTACCTAGACAGATGTTTCAAACTGTTCAACAGTCATAGGAAAATAATCCCATGTTGGAACTGGCTTCAGCAGAGATGAGCTGACCCTCAAACTCTGTCAAGGTCTGCTCTTACCTTCTGTTAAGGGCTGTCAGCTTTTCAGGTTGGTTGTTTGCTTGGTTTGGTTTTTTTTTGTTTTTTTTTTTTAATATAACATCATCCTAAACCTTATCCAGCAGTAGCAGCAAGTGAGCTGCAAGGTAGTCCCGTGAGGACAATGTTCACCTGGCTGCTCTGACAGAGACCATTGATTTAATGAGAACAGCCCCTGAAATCTTAGAGAGTAGTTGTGATGTTTTAAAGGATGAAACACTCTGCAGTGAGCAGAACATGTAGAATTGGGCTGCTTATTTCAGTTCATCCATGCTCCCAACTCTTGCCAGGCTGTCAGAGCACTTCCCAGTGAGCACTATGGCAGAGCACCATGTTCTGGTATCACTGCTGTGGTTTAAGGGAGACTCTTTGCATACAGAGCTATAATTAAGGGTAACAGTAAGTCAGAACAGCAGCATCTGGTCAGATTTTAAATATGTCCCATCTGTCCTCTCTCCCTGTTCTGGCTTACCTGTTACACTTGCAGCTAGGAGAGATGGCACCCCCGACACACACACCTGAACTTGTGTGTGTGCAACTGTCAAGACCAACATGAGAAGGTGTTGAGAGAGTGGGAGGAAACTGTTAATCCCAAAGCTTTCATGTGGCTGCCAGTGCAAAGGAACAACCACTTCCTCTGCAGATACGGTTGCTTGCTGTCTGGAGCCTACTCTCTAAGATGCAACACACTGAAATTCAAGCAGAAGAGAGAAATGATGCAGTGTCACAAGGGCTTAAAATACCTCCAAAAATAGCAAAGATTCATACCTGCCCACAAGTTACTGTTCAAATGTGAAGCTTCCAGATGAAATTTTTCCTCTGTTCCTGAAGTAACCTGCTCTGCTGTGGGGTTTTTTTGTCTTGAACTGATGGATAAGGGAAGAATCACCAGGTAAAATAGTCTTTCTTTCTCCTCTTCATCTCTCCCTGTCAGGCCACAGTTGCTTCAGATCCAGGTCATTGTTTTATTCTCCTCTGGGTCAGGTTGAACATACACAACAGCATTACAAAATTGGTCCACATGCTGCTGCATAGACCCCATTCTGGGATGATCACTGGCTTAGAAGCCAACAGTGGGAAGGAGCTGTAGCTAGCCCTTAGGCTGACAGTGGTCATGGCGCATGAGGTTTTTGGTCCTACATCAGTGCCAAATGCTTGTAGCCAGACAACAGGACTAGCAACTTACACAGAGTTCAGAAAGCCTAAAATAGGAGAGCCTGTGCAGTCCAGACTTTGAGCTAGTGCTCTGTGAAATCAAGCCACACCATGACTGAGCGTAGTGCTCTAAGTAGCTGCTGGGACATCCTGGAGCAGGACGGCATGGGGTGACAAACTGGCTGATTCAGGTCTAATCCAGCCTTTTTGGAAGTGAGGAAGAAAGGTTTTACTCAGGTCAGTTCCCTGATGTGGATTACTGTGCACTGGCATGGATGCTGGTGGCATGGGTGTGAGGAAAAGACTGTGTCAGCTGCAGTATTGCGTTATGCTGATATAAACTGTACTGCTCTGATGAAAATTAGGTCAAATTTAAACAGTGTTAAATTTAAACAGAAACGAGGCATGCTTCCGATGAGACTTCCCCAAAACTCACATGTGTCTGACTGTGTTGGCTGGCTGGAATTCAACGGGCACCACAAGAAACCTGAGGGGTGATCAGGACTGTTTGAGTGCCAACCTCAAATGCAGACCAAGGTCATTTTTTAACTTTGGATTCCTGTGTGCTGTATCATAGGAAGTAATAAAGTAAATGTGCACAGATGGCAAACTGGTTAACCAGTGCATTATACAATTGTGAACAGCAGACTGCATTAGATGAGATGCTGGTGGACTAGAACAGGGATTAGATTAGAACAAGACTAGACTGGTTTTGTTATTGTAGAACCCCAAATACTGGGATCTGAGTTCTATAAGACCTGGCCTACAGGAAGGAAATAAGTACTAAGGCTGCCTTGTGGCACTTGCTAGCCAGAAGTTTCTCAGCCCAAAACCTGTCTTTGATTTCTAAGATGGTGAATGTTTTCCTTAGACTGTAGACATTTGGGTACTTTAGGATTAAAGTGTGAAAGTAAAATACGTAAGTAGAAAGAGTATGTGTCCAACAGTTAGTTGGACACATTTGTGGGGTTATTCTGTAGGATTATAAATGCTAGGTTTGGAAAAGGAAAAACTGTTCCTTGTGGTTGTGACTTAAATGAAGCAAGATACGAAGATTTGGGGGCTCTTAGATTTTTAGCATTGCAGTGATCCTTAGAAGCCTTCCTCTCTGTTGAATTAGGTGAAAAATAGTAGAATTTGCTCTACCAGATCATGTGTTTTTAATAGAAGTTAATGCTCGAACCATAAATAACAGTGGAGTAGGGGACAGATTTTAAACAAGCCTTGCAAGCTCTAGTTACAATGACAAACAGTCCCACCCTTGCATGTCATTTTTACAAATGTCCCTAGTGTCTTTTCATCTAACTATAGTTTGCTTTGAAACAAGTTACAGCTGTATAAATATCCTTGTTTTGTTTTCTGTGATGTGAAGTGGATGAACTGGATTGGTCTGGATCACAGACATGCCAGGATGGAAAGCACTTGCAGATATTTTCAAATTATTTACATTTGGCAACTAAGCAACCAGACAAATAGACAATATGTATGACACCTGCCAAACTTACTATGTGACACTCTGTATCCTACATGAGGGCACACATTACCTCATGCAGTAGCATGTATAAAGTGTTTTCTTGGGTAGCATCTTAACATATGAGAGAACATGAACACTTAGTACAGGCTGTCCACAGCGCATGTGATATGCACATCTGTGTGGCAGGAGATGTGCTGTTCTCTGTTTTCACTGTGTACCAGAAGTACCCCAAGGACACCCTCCTGAAGCTTTGATATTTGTCTAAAAGCATGAAAACTTGGATTGCGTGTGGCCAGGATTAACTAAGGACAGGATATAGTCTGTAATCTGGAGGAGTAAAGTGTGGAACACTCCATGTAAACAGTCCCAACTGGCAACTGGCCCTGCTGAAAGAAAAACAGATGCCTAGAGAGAGGTATTGAACCAGCAGAAGCATCTGGAGATACCTGGCATTCAGAATAACCTCCCAGGCTGCCAGGGCAGCTTGAACTAGTGGGTGGACTCTTTAATCACCTCAATAAAATTGTGGAGGTTTTTGTTAGTTTTATTTTTTTAAAACATCTTTATAAGTCTTTTATCATCTGCAGCGTGCTGTGCTAAGGTGTTTCATTGCTTGTTATGCATCATGCGAATAGCTACATCTGTTTGTTTGAAACCTGACAGTACCTGCAGTACGCTGCTGCATGTGGAGCACAAACAAAGGATCGGTACTGATCAGAAGTGCTGTGGATGTCTGCACCTCTTCTCAGCATGTGAACCACTGTGCTTGTGGAGTAAGTGGTGTCTCCTCCAAGTCCTGGTGCAGGGCTGCACAAGCACAGGGATTTCAGTGTCCTGTAACCGGACGGGCCTTTACCCACCTCTACTGAAACCCCTAGTTTAAAGGCTAGTAATACAACCGTATTCACTATTTGAGATTACTGCATATTTAGGTGTGGGTGGGAGGTGTTAGACAAGGTAGGTAGTTACAAGTGAGGATATGGCTGTGAGTCCAGAGAACCAAAAAATGCTGGGATGATGCTGGTCTCTAAGATCCACCAAAGGTGATTCTGATTTTAAAAGTATGGCTTCAGCACAGTAGTTGTTCTGAAGTCACCCACTAAGAGGGCTTATCTTTGAGGCTGTTTGTATAGTGAGCATGTGTGGAAAGAGATGGAGGCAGATCTCGCTGTATTCGTCCAGCTGGGGACAGATAGCTGAGGCTGAAGCTGCACATTACAGCGAAGTCAGCTTTATAGTTTATACACCCTGATTCTCCCTCCCTTGCACTGATTCTGTTGCTGGTCAGATCCCTTGCTGAACTGACTGAGGTTGCTAGCCCAGCAAAACTCATCTCAAGCTGTTCTCGTGGTGCTACTGAGCTGAATCAGTGCATGGAGAAGGAGGTCAGCAAGTCCCAGAGCTGGAGTGAGGTGAGCCATGGGAGTGCATACCCAGGATGCGGAGGAAGGGAAAGTGGGTGTCCCCCTCCACGTGGCAGCAAACTATTAGATCAGATTAAACTCTTACATGTAACTTCACCTTCTGTTTTCTGTGGCTCAGGGCTATGCCCACGTCCTGTCTGTTAGCCTGCTTATTGCCTGACTGCCATATCGTAGAATGAGATGTGAGCTTACCCTGTCTGACAGTGCCCTGCAAATGTGCCTCTGGGCCGCATACCATGACTCTGGTCTCTGGAACAGTGATAATAAAGGCGCTGCTGTCTTTTTCTTTTCCTTTTGTGTGTGACAGATTGACCAAAACCAGTTTGATAAAATCTTGGAGCTGATAGAAAGTGGAAAGAAAGAAGGGGCTAAGTTGGAGTGTGGGGGTCTTGCCATTGAAGACAGAGGCCTGTTTATAAAACCCACTGTGTTTTCGGAGGTCACTGACAACATGCGTATCGCCAAAGAAGAGGTACAGTACAAGTCACCTGAACGTTTATACTCATTTACTGCTGTAAATGGGAAAGAAAAGAGATATGGTCGTGGTTTGAAGTGAAAACCTTAGAGCAGAATAGAAATGTCACTTATTTCACTTATTTCGGTGTCCTAACAACTGCCTAATGCTGAAATCCATTCTACTAATGAAGTATATGCAAGGTGAGCTTCAGTTTGGAGTTTATGTGTGGGGGGCAGAGGGGGAATTATGAGAGGAGAAGGAGGAGAGCAGAACAGGCAAGAAAACTGTCAGAACGTTTTAGCAGCAATTTTTGTGCAATTAATAGGTGTCTGTTTGCCAGCCCTTTCTAATGCCTTTCTGCTTTCCTCCATTTTCTTTGGTTTTCCAAAAGGGGGAAGTAGCTCTGTGGGTGTACTCACTGGACAATAACAAACAAAACAATAAAAGATAAAAACATAGTAGATAATACTACCCTAAAGCTTTTGGGTCTCACTTCAGAAGATCTTCATATAATGCAAAATACAAGCACATGCCTTACCTAGATACAGCTGCTATAAGTGCTGCTTCTAAATAAGAAATAGTGGTGATGGAGGGGTTTCTGTCTGAATTCTTGATTTGAAATATAAATAACTGAATAAAAATAAATGAAACTGTGGCAGGCTGGAGCAATTCTAGGTATTCTTTGCCCTGAAGTTTGAAGGTTTTCTGATGACAGAGTTAAGCTCTTCCACTCTACATATGTGGATGGTGTGCATGCAGTGTGCCCTTACGCACCTCCTACTGAATGGACTTGAAATTGCTCAGCTGTGGTACATGCTGATTCAAAGTGACAGAGGACAATATAATGTGTATTCTTTGTACGCTCTGCTCCACTATGTAAAAAAGGAGTTGCTTTATTGCAGAAAGGCGGGACAAAGACTATGGGACTTGAAGCTGGTGAGGAGGGAAGGAATGGCCCTGCTATACGGTCGCTGAAGAACTTTTCCCAAGTAGCCTTAGTGTCTGAAATAATCCCAAATTCCATTCCCATGGTGAAATCCCCTGAGGCTGACCATTTTTTTTCTATATGAAAATATGGTCAAAGGCAGCAAACTGCAGATCTAATACTCTTGCTTTCATTATTCATATGCAGAAAAATTGAACAAGCTGCATGTGATTAGGTCCTGTAATATTCCTTTGAAATACAAGTTAATCTACTTTTCATCATGTTCCCCAATGGAAAATAAGTAGTTGCCAAAGTCTAACTGGCACTTCTATTTTATAGTTTAGCATAGTGCTTTTTATGGGGCTGCTTACTGTTCACTCCTGGCAAAATGTTTAGATTTCTCAGGCCTGCCACAGAATCTCTAAGGAACCTGGGAAAGATATCAGTCAGTCTGGGCATGAGTTACATTCTAAAAATAGAGGGAATAAGAGCTGAAAATCCCATGACAGGCCTTTTTTTTTTAATGAACTGACTCCAAATCCCAAGCCATGATTCATTAAGCTTATCCAGTTTCATTCATTTGCAGTTTTGTTGCAAATGCATGTTCATCTGTTGCCTGGGACCAAGGCTCCAGTTAAGTACCTGGATCTTCCAAAATTAAGAAATTTAGAAACACTTGTATGAGCCTAAAGGCCAGGCAAATTGCTTAGCCTGGCCGTCAAGGTGGCACAAGTGAGCCTGTATCTGACCTTCAGTGGGGGTTTATTGTACTGCAAGACCATTCACGCCAGAAAAGGGTCCCCCGCTTCGATACTGTACTCGATGAGAGAGACTCCATCCCAGAAATTAGGACATATTGTGTATGCCTGCTGCCTTTGTACTGGCGACCTGGGAAGCCAAGTCTGTGGTCAAACACATACGTGGTAAATGCACTGCATGCAAATAAACTGCATAGCATGACAAAATCAAAGTTAAAACTCAAGGAAGAAAACTTGCAATGCTTTAAATATGTTAATTACTTCTTGAGTATACTCACTGAGTCCAAAAGGAGAGTCGTAAATGGAGTAAGTATGAATCATCTGAAACTTGTCCAGATCTAACTCTGCTTATTTTGATTGTTATAGATGATCCATTAGTTCTTGGATCTTAGTATATATTAACTACTATAGCACATTGCTGTACTTCCTTTGAAGTCAATTTAATTAGTAGTTTTTAAGAGACTATCAGTGCCTCTAGAAGGCTAGGATGTAACATTTTAAATATAGTATCCAAACAAAGTCATCTGATTCTGATTACTTCAAAATTACCATGATTAGCAAGGGCTTTCCCTGTACTAATGTTTAATTGACATGTGCAGATTTTTGGGCCAGTTCAGCCAATTATGAAGTTCAAGAGTATAGAAGAGGTCATAAGAAGAGCCAACAGTACCGAGTATGGACTTACAGCTGCAGTGTTCACAAAGAATCTGGACAGAGCATTAACGCTAGCTTCTGCACTGCAATCGGGAACAGTCTGGTAAGCAGTGCGGGACCCGAGTGTGGGCTAGGATTTTGTTTCCTGGGAAGGGAGAGGGATGTATGATTTGGAATCATGTGTAAGTGCTGGAGGTAAGATGTATTAGTAGTCTGTTTAATTCTTGATATTCTCCTCAGAAGCAACATCCATTCATCATAATAAGGTGGTGAAGACCAGACAGTCTGGCGAGAAATGGACAGTTTGTTCCTTCAGTCGTTGTAGTTCTTTGTCTGGAAAACTCTAAAAATGTAGGGGTTGTAGGAAGTTCCACCAGTCATGATACCTTTCAAAATCCTGTATATAGAGAAAAAGCAATTCTTAGGATCTTTAGGTAGCATTAAATGGGGTCTTAGATGCACAAAACAGTATGGACAGTAGATGGCATCACACCACTGTCAGAAAGATAGGTAGCTATTTTCGCTTACAAAGTTTCTTATTTTGTATTAGAATGATTTTAAAGATGGGATCCTGGCTTTTTTCCCATTAAAGATAGGAATTTGATCTGGTGTCTGATTTTGATGCATACAGAGGATAGATTTCAAGAGTTAGCACCAGAAGAATCTGCCTCTCAGTAATATTTACTAAATGGGATACTAATTATTTACTGATGAGTAAAATGGGATGTTGGGCTTTGAAGATACATGTGCTGTACATACATGAAGGCACAGACCTACAGCACCAAGCCATACGTCTCTTCAGTCATTTGATTGTACTGAGATGCTGAGGAAGTATCTGCATTAGCTTTTTCTACTTAGTGTCTACAGAAATGGGGCTAGTGCTTTTTTTTACAGCAACACAATTGCCTAATGCAGTCCAACTTTTTTGTATACCTGGAAGTGGATGGTGGGCCTGCTTGTGAGTGTTTAGACAGCTTTCTGAGTAAACATGATCATTTCAGAATGTGCTTCATTAAACTAGGGAATAGGTTGGACTATTTATTTTAAGCATGGCTCTGAACACAGCATAAATTCCAGCTCAAACATGAATGTCTTAGCCATTAGCGACTATGAAGTGAGATGTGGGTCAGATTGAGTACCACTCAAGTGTTTTCTGTTTCTGTAACAAAATAAGATTTTATTGCAAAAATATGATTTCTCAAGTGAATGAAACATATAAAGAGAAAACTGACAGATTTCAGCCTTTTTTATATTGTTGTTGTCATCATCTTGCTTCTCCTTAGTATTGAACTGTCTTTTTAAAATTGATGTTTTTATTGTAGGATCAACTGTTACAATGCGCTCTATGCACAGGCTCCTTTTGGTGGCTTTAAAATGTCAGGCAACGGCAGAGAACTGTAAGTTTTGCTACATATTTTGTTTATATGTGGATGGCGAATGCAATAGCAATTGTGACTCAGTGAAAATATTGTTGAATTTGCTTTAAACTATCAGGCTTGCAGTATGCTGCACAGGGAGGTGCTAAGCCAGTACAGCATGGATGTAAAGCACAGATGTGAGAATGTGAGTGGTGCCTTGGTGCCTTCAGGAGTACTTTATCTGCTTTATAAGCTCTTTATAACTCTAGTTCAGGCAATCCCATTTGCAAGCATTTTTCCTTACTAGTTAGATTTTTATATCAAGGGAGAAGTATGGCACCTCAGCTGGGGACACTGGTATCCCAAACCCCAAACCTCCTCCATCTTTATATGGTGGTATTTGGGCCTCCCTTGACTGCTCCCAGTTGGACCTCTTCCCACCTCTGACTTTCTAATGTTGGAGCTAGAACAAGAAGGAATGATCTCCAAGATCATTCTACCTCCCATCTTCCAAGCTTGCTACTAAATTACAGAAAGGTCCTCTGTCCCTTTTCCCCAGCCTGACCTGTTGCAGCATGGCTACCAGGCATTCCAGCTCTAACTAACTAACTCTAGTTAGTTGCTAACACAGAAATTGTTAAACCCTGGTCACCCTGTAAGTTCAGAGAGAGAGATGAGAAATTGACTTAAACCTGAATTTTCTTCTTGTATGAGAGGCAGAGTTTATTACACTGTTCAGAAGGCTCTTTAGAGGAATCTAATGCACCTTTTCTTTCATAAGCCAGATTTATTTCCAGGAACCCTTTCCAGTAGCTGTTCTGGTGCATCTGCTGCTCTGAAACATTCAGATGCCTCACTGGCTAAGAACAGCAAATGAATGAATCCTCAAGTGGGACATATATATTGAGACCTTATGGTTTATTTTGCCTGACTGCCTGGCTAATTAAAGGATGTCAGGGGTTGATCCCTTGGGCAAGGCATGGGAATAGAGCCAGTTTCCACCAACCAAGACATAATGCAGTGGTGGGGTCTGTCATCACTATGCATTTCTGGAGCAACTGTGCCCTCGTGATTATATGGTATCTTGTAGATAGAAGCTTACTTTCAGGGAAAAAGTAACTTTAATTGCTGTCTAAGCACTGATAACTATGTTTACGTGGATGTTTCTTCTATGGGTTCTCACAATAGTACTGTTTACTGTGACCAGAAGCATTCTATGTTTCTTTTACAAGAGGGTGCAGTTGTGTGTACTTATGCGCATGTGCTTAGCAATTATTAGAAGTGGTGGGACAAATTGATAGCTGGTGTAAGTTAGTTCAAACGTGGGTTTAATGGCCTGATGTCATCTACAGCAGCTGTTGATCTGTGGCTAAAATGCACTTGTGTAGAAATCTCTTATCTTGGGGAAGTACACATTAACACACTACAGTTATTTGTCCCTTTGCCTCCTCTCTCTTCTTTTCCAGCGGTGAATATGCTTTGGCAGAATATACCGAAGTGAAAACAGTCACCATTAAGCTCTCCCAGAAGAGTCCATGAAAACAGAAGGCCTAAAATGCTGACACTCTGAATGTGACACATGGGGGACGTGTTCAGAGCAAGGGGGAGGGGAGGGGTAGGAAGGAAAATGGAAACACCTAACTTTATTCCTCTAGAAACACTGAATCTACTGGACTCCATTTTGTCAACTGGCTCTTCGAAAACTGATCTAACTGACCCTACTGGCAGCATAGCACACACTTGTACCGTACAAGTCCCTGGCTGTACATCTGTCTGCTACCTGTGACTAAAATGCTGGTCAGTCACAGTGTTTGCAGGACATCTGCTTTCAAACTGTACCCCTGAAGGACATGGACATCAATGGCATGTTAGAGAGACTTCTGGTACCATTAGCATGGACTGTTAAACACCTTCAGAGGCATATGGGTTTCACTTGGCATAAAGGGCCTTGAGTGGTAGGGCTAATACAACTTGACTGAAGTTGGCGGAGTTTGTGTGAAGACGGCAGCTGGAGTTTGGGATGGGAGTGCAAGCTTTCATGGAAGGATCTGTAAAGAAATTCTCTTTGAAAGAGCTATCTTGGTCTCTCCTTAACGATACATGCATTCTCCGTATTTGGTGATATTCTAGCCCTGAATGAGATTTATGGGAATTTCCTAGAGGACTCCTTTGGGGCCAGTATTTCACCCAACAGAGCTAGACCTTGAAGTGTCCTTTGAACCTGATGTTTTGGTGTGCACACACTACACATGCTGCAAATGCAAGTTACTGACTTGCTAATCCTTCTGGCTCTGAATGAGTCACAATTGTATCTCAAACCTTCACTATAGCACTTTTTGCAAGAGGATTTTGCACTGTACTTACCGTGATGACAGAGAGTTGAATGCTAAGCATGTAGCATGGTAGATACGCCACAGAAAACATCCCACGCCAGTCCTTCTGATCTGGAGGAGGGAGCAGAAGAGCTGCAAGAAGCTGTCCTGCTCTCTTTTTCTCTGTAACTTTCAGGCTGTGTGAACATCTCTTCATTTTTTGAGCCAGAGCTATTATTATGAGAGTAAAACTTAAAAGCTCTTCTCACTGCTTCTTTACCTCGTATGAATGTAGCTTAAAATAAATTTTTTGAAGTACAGTATGAAAAGGCAGGTGCTCCCAAGCACACACTGAGTGCTAAAGATGTGGGTGTACAAACCAGTTACCATGGAATAAGCTATGGCTGGACTTAAATGTGTCAGCAGCTTTGCAGTAATTGCCCTCATGAGTGCTGTCATCTTGTGGCAAGCACAGAGTAGCTGATCCTTCACTGAGGAATGAATTGCCTTGAATTGTCTCTGCTTACAGCTGTATAAGCATGCACGTAGACGAATAGCATCCATGGAGTGGCTGTCACACCAAGTTCATGCCTTAGAGTCTCCTGCAGTAACTTCTTTGCATGCCCAGACATTGCTTTGAGATTAATGACAAGCCACATGCTGTCTTCAGTTCCTGGGTTCACTACTTTCCCTCCTCCTCCTCCCAGTTCTGTACTGGAGATCCACTAGCAAACGTACGGGAAGTTCCATGTCCGCAGGAGCTGTAAGTATGCAGGAGTTAGTGGTGTCAGCTTGTTAGGAAGTTTAGCTGATCTCGCTGGGATTGTCATAGAATCATTAAGGTTGGAAAAGACCTCTAAGATCATCAAGTCCAACTGTTAACCCAGCACCACCATGCCCACTAAACCGTGTCCCAAAGTGCCAGGTGACAGGGGTTCCTTATGGCATATCAACACATCTCCATGGAGCACTGGTAAAGGTTGCTGCCTGGAGTTTTCCAGATGTCAGGGCTCGAAGCAGAAATGCAGGTCTACCTTTTTTGTCTGACACAAGCAAGGATTTAACTGGTACCTTCCTTTGCTCAGAGATATACCCAGTCAGTAACAAGTTCTATTGCATGACTCGATCTTTTTTTGGAGGCGGAAAGAAGGTGGGTGGCGATAAGTGAGGAAAAAGTTTGCATGAGCCTAAACTTCCTTCTTAGTTAGTGAATGCTGAAATTGCACTTCAACACTGCTTAACTTCTTAAATGACATACCTCCAACAGTTGCGTATAACTGTCCTCCCATGGGTATGTGAGACAGGTAAATCTCCCCATCTGGTGAAGAAAATGTCCTCCTTTCCCCATGAAAGGCCAAATGGGAACATTGTAAATAAGTTTCTATTTTTGTAAAACACTTAGAGTGCAAACATCTTCTCAGACAAACATTTTACTTTTGCCTGCTTGACGGTTTTCTAGGGCTACGGTCAGACAGTAAGGAAATAAGGCAAACAGTAAAAAGCTGGTTATCTTAATGTATCTCTGTATTAATTTTTGATAAACAGTGGTTGAAACTGAAATAATCTGAAATTCTTAAAATCCTAGTATTCTGGCTTCATATGTATGATATACACACCTCTGGTTTTTTTCCTTATCAAATTTTTAAAAAGTCAATGTATCTCTTATTGTATAAATCAGGGTTTGACTCTACACACTGAATTTTCTAAGTTATATAACACTAGACACTAACTTTAAAATAACCTCTTAGAGGGTATATATTCTTTCATTGCACAGTAAGGCTTTCATATTAAATACTACTTTTTTTTTAAAAAAAGAACTATATTTATAAATTAGGATACAGTTAATCTAATGTATTTTTATAGCTAAAGGTACATGAAAATGCTATGTTTAAACCTCATGTATATATTTAGACTATGGGTATCTTTTTGTAATAGTTCTTGTTCCTAATAAATGTTTAACTTTGTGAAATGGTTTCTAAACGCTACGTATTGATATTGCTCAGAAAGGAAGGTGGGGGAGCAGGAAACTTCTATTGACTTTACTCATTTTAACAGAGGAGTAACTTGAATGCTTTTTTATTTACACTGATTAGTGCCTTAAGATAATTCCAGCCCCTCTAATGCACATGTTAAGACCTCTTCCATCAGCAAGCAACTTCCACTCAACTCAATCCTCCTGCCACTGTTTTTTATTTCACTCTGAATTTGGCCCATTGTGTCAATAAAAGTAAACACTGGAAAGGGTTATGGTTTCATGCTTCTAAAACAAAATGTCCCTGTATTGCTCTAGTTACAGGGGCCTCTTCCTTGAACAGCGTTGTGTCTGTTCCCCTTGGTTCAGTGACCCAGTGCTAGTCCTCAAGTGGAAGCATGCACTGGGCTCACAAGAGACAACAGCATTTCGAGGTACCTTTTACACGTGGCAGAACTGAATGCAGAGTGCGTGTTTGTGTGTGTGTATCTGGGGAGTTGGTATCTCACTGGGGGGGCTGTGAAGGCATCCAAACTTGGATTCGTTTCTGCAATTTGTGAAGAATTTAAAAAAAGTGCTTAAGTATGATCAGTGCTCTACACATAAAAGCTGGAGCGTGTGTCTGTTAACTTACTCTTTAAGCAGTCATGTTTACAAGCTGTGCCATTTACAGTAAGTGGAGGGGGAAGGAGAGCAGAGGGCAGGGGCAAGCACAGCTTCTTCCAGTTCAAAGTAGGATGGATCCTTTTTGCCTTCTGAGGTGAGCCTCAAAATGGAGAATTTGAAGGGACTGTGGACCACACGGACAAAGCTTCCTGCCTTGCTCTGGCTGCTTTCTAAATCCCTTTGAGACACACCCATCACTAGTTTGACTCTGCTAAATGCATTCCCACTCCTGTCTTATTTCCCTCCTCTGCAATGTAGATAGAGAGCATGTCTTTTAACTCTCTTCCCATCCCATACACATTTGAGAAATACCTGTCATCTCACACAGGCCCAGCCAAGCTCCTTGCATTTTCCACTTGCTAACAGCATCACTCAGAAGCGTTGAGACTTTAGAAGGGGGAAGGCTGGAGATACAAAGGAATTGCTGTGAGTGACATCATCAATGGAGACATAAGCCAGCAAGCGTGGGATGAGATTTGGGGGGAAAAAAGAAGGAAAAAAAAAATTCATCTTGAATGTGTGGAGAAATTCTTGCTAGGGGAAGTCTTTATCAAAATAAAGGGAAAAAGTTATTTTAGTGTTTTTTCAAACAATTGTGCTAAAAAAAACTGCAAGAAAGCTCTGGTTAAGAGCCAGGCTGTGAGGCATAGAAGACAGCAGCCTGGGTAGGTGGAAAGGGTCGAAAACCAGGTAACACTACTGTGGCTGCAGCTAAAAGCAGATTAACGGGGACCTGAGCACAGGTAAAAGCACCGATGAAGACCCATCCTCTCTATGTCTTTATAATCACATCAAAGAAACACCCTAGGCAAAACTCAGGCTGCAGCAGCCATTCAGTGAATGGGTATGGCTTTTTCCATCCTCAAACAATCATCAGGGACTCATTTCTTGGTACAGGTCAGGGAAGAAAAAAAAAACCCTGCGTATGTAGTTTACGGAATCATCATGAATAACAAAACAAAAGGCATGTAGAAATGATGTTCTCTTAGTAGGTCCAGTGGGTGGGGAAAATAAAGCAACACCAGGCTTGTGAGAGGTTCCCGGTACCTGGAGAACGGGTTTGTGATGAGGCAAAGCCAGCGGGAGCGCAGCATGTCCAACGCCTTCAGAAGAAAGGGGGCAATCTCGCTTCGCTTTTGCGGAGAGGAGCAAACTCACGCTGCGCTCTGGGGAAGGAGCAACTTTCAAAGAAAGGCATCTCGGATCAGGTCTGTTACCGGTAAGGCCAGGCCTCTGTCGAGAAGCCCCGCAGAGGCGAGACGGGCGGTGCTGCGCACGTCAGTGCGGCTACCCGGCAGCTGGTCGTGAGGGCGAAGCCATCCGGACAACCTGCTGTGGCTGAGAGGGTCCTGCTTCAGCCCCCGCGACTCCCACTGCCTGTTTTTTCCTTAAAAAAAACACCCCAAAACAACAAAAACCAAAGCCAAAGAGCCTAAAGCCTGCGAAGGGACTGCCCGGGGAGAGGGGGGACACGAGTCACTGATGGGTGCGTCGCTCCCGGCTGCGCTCCCAGGAGCGGGGCTTGCTCCCTGCCCTTCCCCACGCTCGCTCTCCGTCCCCGTCCCCCGCGGCGGGACGGGTTCCGCGCCCAGGGCACGGCGGCGGGAGAGGTCTGCCCTCGGGAGGAAGGCGAGGGGCCGT